TATATATATATATATATATATATATATGTATATATATACAATAGTATAAAGACGTAAATGAATAGCGTATTTTGTTCCTAATATTAGGCAATTCTTTGCTGATCTACTGCAAATAAACCAGAGATCTATAATTTCAAATCTACAGTATTTTTTACCCACCCCCTGACCTAACAGGATGTAAAGCTTTATGCCGAATGTTGACTCAGGAGCCAATGAACTGTGTGCTCATGGTGGGAAGAAGTTAAAAATAGGAGTAACAAATTCAAAGAAATTGTTACTTCTCTCCCATAAATTATTCTTTTGGCTTACAATTTTTTCCTACTGCTTTTGTACAGAACTCCCTAGAGTTTTACTCATATAGAGAGAATAAAAATTAAGGCTAATTTTTTTCTTCCTCTCGTATAATATGTTCTGCTATCAAACCCAGGGGAGCTATGATTTAAGATGATGGGCAAAATAATTGCCATTTTGTGTTTTTCTGACACAGAAGAAATGTAGATAGGTGATCTATTTTCCACCACGCATATTTCTATCCTGTATTCCCTTGATTAACCTTAGATTTTTACACATGATCCTCAGACCAAAGAAACTCCAACATTTTGGCTACCAAAGAAGTTTTAGAAATGCCCTTTCCATGGACAAATGAAAGTCTTTTTATTTTATTATAAGCAGACACACGTAAAAGGATGGGAAGACAGTTAAGTAACTGAACACAACAGAAAGTGACTCTTGTTTTGCTAATGACTCATTTTTTCAAAAACAAAGTTCAGTATAGACTTGAAGTAATCCATCTCTGTTTACAGTTCCAATATTAATTTATTATCCTTAACAATCTGTTCCAAGCAAAACACTAGTAAAATGACAGACTATTTTCAAATTAAAATAGAAAGAAAAAAATAGCTGCATATCATTCTGCCCTATTAAATGACTCTGAAGCACTCGTAAGAGAGGAGAAAGGGGAATTACAGTATACGAGATCCAGATTTATCTGAAGTAGCAACTTTCATGCTCCGTCAATATCGCTGAAGATGTTGCCAAGCTTGAGAATTTCAGCTCTAGCAGATATATTTCATCTTCAAAAATACCAAATGAGCAGAAAATCAACACATTTGAAAAAGATTGATTCTGAAATGCAATGACACAAAGGGCTTTTGCTGCAATGCTCTACTGTATATTAATTAGTGTGTGTGTGTGTGTGTGTGTGTGTGTGTATAAAAACACACCGACATACTAAATGATATACATTAAGGCTTTTTCTGGGTGCAGAATATCACTAATAGATTTGATTATCAGAATAAAAGCTTTTTAAGGACACTGGACCAAGGAAAGAGAAAGGGCATTTTGTTACACTTGCTAGCAATATCAGCATTATATGGCTGGAATGTTTGACACTGTTTAATGGCATCTTTTCTAAGCTGCTATTTTCCAGTGCAGTGAATTTTCAGATTAGTCTGGGAAATCCTTCTTTCCAAGAAGGATGGTCACATAATCTCTACAAATGCCTATTAAGGGCTCGTGTTGGGGAACGGCTGTAGAATTAAACATTAGTTTGGGGTGGAAGCTTATCTCAACCTCACCTCCCAATATAATCCACATTTAATTGTGAAATGATCACACAGTTCTTCCAGAGGTTCTTCTCTCACATCAGTCAACAAGGAATAATAGCCAGTTGCACTAGAACTTAGAAGAGGAGGCAGATCCTAGACACAACTGGCAGAAGACCCTGGAGGAATGAATTTCTCTTTATGGGTTTAGTTCCACATTTATTTGCTAAGAGTTTATGCTAGCACCTAGCTGACCTTGGCTGATCTTTAAAAGCTAAGCAACATCAGATCTGGTTAGAATTGGATGGGAACCCACTAGGAATCCAAAGTGTTGTAGATGAGGCTGCCAACAACCTTTAAGTTGGTAATAGCAAATTGCTGCTATGATGTGTCTATGTAGTCCCCCGGAGTTGAACTTAACTTGAAGATGACTTGACATTCTACTGATTACCAAAAGGTCTTGGCAGTTTTTGGCAAAATGATCAGCTCTCACCATCCAGCTCAAATCATGAAGATGAACTAAACTGAACTGTCCAACACTTAAAAAGTCTACCCCAGAAGAGATGATTTAAGAGGTAAAGCATGTCAATACAGCAGAGGGTCTAAAACAAAGAACAGGGACAACTACAGAGAATGGCTGAACTGCCACTGAGATAAGCCAGCAAAAGGATCTCAATAAATTAGTGTTTCTCAACCTTGGCAACTTTAAGGTGTGTGGACTTCAACTCCCAGAATTCTGGGAG